CCCCCCCCCCCCCCCAAAAAAAAAAAATCAGATAATCCTGGATCCGCCCCTGCTTAACGTACATGGTATAACTGTTTCACATTTAAAATTCAAGACAGACAAACAAAGCTCAAAGAATTGCTATGGTAGAGAAAGGACCATTTGTTTAGGTCGCACAGTATATCATCATAGGGACCATTCCCACATATATTTGGATCGATCTATCTCCCTGGGGAGTCTCACTACATTGCTATCAAACTAACCAGCTGAAACGTCTGTCACGCCTAGTAAAGCTGTTAGCGTTAGTCTTTACCCCTAGCTGATTCGGTACACGTGACAGGCATTTGAGCCTCTTGAGCTGATAGCAATTTAGCGTGAACCCCCAGGGAGTTAGGCCGATCCAGTTGGGTGGATCTAAGTATGGGAACCCAGTCATAGTGTAGCAGACACGTTACTCTGACCTGATTCAGGTAGCATGATAAGATACGTACAGCCATTACACAAACACTGTAGAAAACACTGGGTCACGTACATGTTTTTTAGTTACTCTCGCAACTTCGTCAGGAACGCTGATGAGATGGCTTTGTTGCTTCGATACTCGACTTTGCTCATTTTGTCAGTCACTGTAGTAGACAGCCAGTTAGAGGTCACCATCAGAACCGGTACAATACGAGGTTTCAGCAAAACATTGAACGGGAAAACTGTGAACGAATATTTAGGAATTCCCTTTGCCAAGCCTCCAGTTGGGAACCTTAGATTTGCAAAGCCCCAGCCTGCGAGCCGCTGGGAAGGGGTGAAAGACGCCACGTCGTACGGTCCAGCTTGCATGCAGAGACCCAACCCTTTTGGATTTCCTAATCCGAAGAAAGTAGGTTTAGTAACTTTATATTTAATGTTTTAAGATTAATTAAAAACAAAAGTTCTTTTATGAAATGCAGAGACCCAACCCTTTTGGATTTCCTGTCCCGAAAACGTGGGTACAGTGTATACCCAGTTTACATCCTACTGTATTATGTAATACACGTAACATGAATGATAGTTATAATCATAAACACCATTACGTGGGATTTAGGTGTAGAAATCTTAATTGTTTTTGTCCCGACCTGTCTCGTACAGCTCAGCCGGCTCCTGCGGCTCCGCAGGATTTCGTGGGACACAAGACACCGTTACCGCTTCTCCTCCTAGACCGCAAGTACCTGTAACCCCATCTCTTGGATTTAGGTCACATCAAGGAGTCTGTTATAACTCCTTGGTCACATATAATCTCCACTTGAACCCCCTTTTTTTGTCTCAGTCGGTACATTGGCCTGGGCGTGACGCTCGTTGAAACGCACCCTTGTCAAAATTTTTGAAAATTCAATGCTAAATATCTCCCAAACCGAAGGAATTATGGGGAAAATTACTGCAGAAGTCCGTCCGAGAGTCATATGTGGAGATTCCAAATATGCCCTTCGATTTGACCCTTGACCTTTATGTCAAGGTCAAACGGGCCAAAATTTTCTAAAAATGGGAATTTTCTGCAAAAAAAAAAAAAATTGGTTTTTCCCAATTTTCAGAAACTACACACACACCTAAGCTCTCATATAACAGTTAAGGATTACAATTAGGGACTTCTTTCATCTAATGGAGTTTGGGGTCAATCGGTGCATTTTCACGGGAGAAGCAGACAATAGATGCCGTAACTGAAAACTCTCTCTAATTCTGGAACCGTAAATGCTAGAGACCTTTTTCTTTTTTTTGCATTTTGTAGAGCTTGTCAAGGGGTTGCACTTTATCAAAAAGTACACCGTCGCAATATTCAGTGGTAAAAATAAAATGTGAAATACTCCAAAATTAGCAGAGGTACACCCATAGTTGCCATAGTTATTATTTAACTTCAATAGGAAGTCATATACTGGCAATCTAACTGTGACCTTGAAGTAGACCTTTGATCTACTTTTCATGATGAACTGCACTTTGCAAGTTTTCTCCGAAACTGGCAGAGATACACCCATAGTTACTATTGAACTTGAATAGGAAGTCATATACTGGAAATCTGTGACCTTGAAATTGACCTTTGACTTACTTTTCACCATGAAATTTCTGTCCCTTATATCTCCAAAACTGGCAGAGATACGCCCACTGTTGCCCCTGGGTTTTCTCTTTTTTCAGCATATATGCAACACCGATAACACATAAAAAAACCGATAGACCTATTGTCTTGAAAACCCAAGGAGTGATCAATGTTACGAAAATCGGCTTGATCGGACCGTTTTTACAATTATGCTGTTTTTTCACTTCTTTCTGCATATTTCGAGAACTCTTTTTTATTGCATTTTGCAGAGCTTGTCAAGCACAACACTGGTGGCGGTGTCCCTTATTTATTTATTTATTTATTTATTTATTTATTTTTTAATTTTTGATAATTTTTTTTTTTTTTTTTTTTTTTTTTTTTTTTGTTTCCCATACGAATGCGCTTACTCCAGCTGGTGGTACAATATCCGGAGGTGGTATCACCTTTCTGATCCTCTAGTTTTCTTCTTCCTCTTTGGTCGCTCTGTCAGTACTATGATATTGATACAAACAACAGTTTCATTCATGATCACATTTCATGAATTATTGATCCAAAGCTATCGATATTGGTATGGAGTTTATGGAGGAGACATATAGTATGCGTCATGTAAAATTATTTATCAACTTCAGATATCTGAAGATTGCCTGACGCTCAACGTTTTTGTTCCCGATACCCCTGGCGTTAAAGCTGTAATGGTCTGGATTCATGGCGGAGGCTACTACACAGGGGGCAGTTTTCACTATGATTTCACCGAATTCGGTAGGTCCACTGTGTGGCCCTTCATGGGTTATATACATGTGTAATCTGCTCTTTGTCAGTGCATCTACATGTATATAAAAATGGAAAGAAAATATAAGAAAGAAAGAAAAGTGAATATCAAATATGAAATCAAATTCAATGAATCAAATTATATTTTCTATCATTTTGATAAGCTGCAAGAGGCGACATTATCGTTGTGTCATTGAATTATCGCCTGGGACCATTTGGTTTCCTGAGTATAGATGGCGCTAATGCACCTGGAAATCTGGGACTGTGGGATCAAATTGAGGGCCTGAAGTGGGTACAAAACAACATTGGAGCCTTTGGTGGTGACCCTAAAAAGTACGTTTGACATGGTTGTGACCTGTTTAAACTGTCGGCCTACTTGCTTGTCGGTCTTTTGTTTGAATTTTCGAGACTTTTCTGCTACTTGGGCTAGGGCCAAAGCAGTGAAGGTAATACATGTTTTAGAAAATATATATACTACATCGAATTTAAGAGACGTTGTTGTGTTACCTCAAATGAGAGAATAAAATACATTTACCCAACGAATACTGCCCACTGCTATTACATGATATAATGATCCGAACCCGGTAGATTCAATTAATCAGATAAATACTAACGCATATAAGAACCCTGAAGGAGACGTGCATTTCGAATGCCTCCATCAAAATTTTTATCTTTTTTCAGGGTTACTACATTCGGGGAATCTGCCGGGGGTAGCAGTATCTCTCAGCTTGCTCTTACCGCAAAAGCCAAAGGCCTCTTTCACCGTTTCATTCCTCAGAGCGGGTCCGCCTGGGCAGACTGGACGTGGTCGACGGAAAAAGCTGCAACACTCTCTCTAAGGATTGGCGACATTCTAGGCTGCCACGCCGGGGAAACAGAGAGGTCAAAACTCCTCGACTGTCTGCGAAAAAAAACAGCTGAACGATTTCTAGACGCGAGTATCGTTGCTACCATAGGTGTCCCTGGCACCCTCCATTACAGCGCTGAGGTCGACGGCGATATGTTTCCAGAATCCTTATCAGACATGTTTAAAAACCCTGATTCCGAAGTCATACAGCACTTTCGTTCTCTGGACTGTTTGGGAGGTTTCACTGACGGAGAGGCGGCGATATTGATCCATGACATAGATAACGGGATCACCCCTGCAGAATTACGAGACAAGTTCATCCCTGATGTGGCGAAGCATGTCGCACCTGGCCACAAAGCCGAAATTGAGAACGTTCTGATGAAAGAATACTACAACAACGCAGCTAATAGATATGACACTGCTAACCGCTACGTCGACATCTTGACGGACTGGGATTTAGCAGGACCGGTGGCAATTCTGACAGATAAACACGTATCACCAGGTGGTGGCTCTACATACCTGTACTACCTCACAAAGGTACCTTCATTTGGCTACGTTTTGAAAACACCTCCTTGGTTCGACCGGTCAAACCACGCAGACGACCTTTCTTACCTCCTTGGTCCAGATCACCCCACAATGTTTGATGACGGCGTCGACTTTGATGACGAAGACAAGAGGATTTCTTACGAAATGATGAAGTATTGGGCGAACTTTGCTAAAACAGGGTAAGTGTAGATCTGATAATTCTTGTGTTACAACAATCACTTCCTTAAAGTATAGTTAACTTTCTTTTGGGTAAAGAGTAGCATACAGCCGTGTAAACATTATAGTTACCAAGAGAAGTTTGCAAAAAGCCATTGTACGAGTTCGCCATTTCTCGTCTCAGTTACGAAACATAAAACCCAAAATCGAGTTAAAGGAAGTAAATTTCTCAACATATTTGCGTACAGTAAATATGGATGATAAAAGAAAACTGTCGGAATTTCCAGGAATTTGTTTTTCTACATACAGTTCTAACATTCAATGTATGTTGATGCCATGCACAAATGTACAGAACAGTTATCATTCGTTTAATAAAGGGATCCTAACAAACCAGACATGCCCACCACGACCTGGCCACCATACACATCAGATAAGAAAGAATACATCGAGTTAGGTGACGTCACCAAGTCTGCTTCTGACGTCATACCAAGTCGTTGGAAGCTGTGGGTGACCACCATACCGGAGATCCAGGCGTCCCCCGTGGTCTCTAAAGCTCGCGGACGCTGTCCCCCGTATCTTTGTCATTGTTGCGGGTACGATGTCTGCCTGGACGACAAGTATCTGAACTAAAAGCAAACAAAATGTAATGTAAAGAGAACATAACCCTTTCCTAAATGACGTTCAGTTGGACTCTAAGGGAACCCTACAGGCCTCTATCGGACATCCTCTGATTCCTGTACAACATGTTTAATTTTACTAATGTTATTGGATTTGCTATAAATAAGATGTTTTAATGCTGAATAAGAAGCTCAAATATTGTCATGTTGAACTTCTGTCTTCGACGTTTAATTTGATTTGGCGGTAATATCCTGGTTTAGTAGAACTTTAATATTGTAATATGTTTGAGCTGGTTATTTGGAATTAAAGGGCCGCGTCGTTCCGAATCCACGCAGACATTGGGTTCTTTGCCGCATTTTATGATAGAGGTTCAACTGATGCAATTTACAGGCGCCATTTTTTTCAAAATAACCTCTTTTCTTTGTACGAAGCTCAACAACACAGGCAAAGCTGTAGTGAGTGGAAACTAAAGAAATATACAAAACACCACATTCTTTGCACTGAACAAGACATAGAGGAACTGAAAAATGTCCTTTGTCCATTATTTCAACCATGTAGTGGCATCATTGCCCATTGGATACATTTTGGTATCACGTCATGTAGCACTGTGTATGGACTCCAGGAGCAGACGACATTATTTGCGTTATTCTATTCTCAGCATAGCGGCTCCTGTGCACGATAGTTTCATTGGCAATGAGTCAGAAGTATAAAGATTTTTGCTCATGCGGGTTGTGCAGATAAAAGTGAAAATTGCGACTTTATGATGGTAGCATTAATCGTCTTCTTCAAACTATATTTGGGGACAACCGATTTGAAGCGCGCACTTCATCGTTGTACAGTTGCCATTACCCATTGACCAGAGTGGTGCACCAAAACATATCACCAAAGATTCGTTGGAACATCTTAATAGGCGTCGAAGATTTACACTGAAACATGGTGAGTGAGACAAGATTACTTAGGAGTATTGTGCCCATATTTACTCATTCTCGAAATATAGGTTCATTTAACATTTTTTAATTTCATTAAAAATAAGCGAGCGGAAGATTTGTTTGTCCAAGTAAAACTTTACTTACATCAGTCTAGCAATTTAAATCATTTGAAAAAATATTTCTAGATTTATCTGTTCTGGCCCAAAAACATGAACGGAGTAATTTTCAAACCTTCTTTGCTGTCGCTCGCAGCACCATCTCACATTCTCCTATTGATCTACTTCATTTGTACAAAAGTAGAAATTTTGTCACTTGTTAAGTAGCGAGCATGACGGCTAACGAGTCAGAAAGTGACTGGAATGTTTATTGTAAATTTTTAAAACTTTTGTTACTCAAACCTTAGTTACTGAATATGAAAACTGTGCATATTAGCAAATCATGAACCTGAAAATGTTTGCATGTCATACACAAAAGGCTAGATTTATCAATTTCTGTCGCCAGGCCTTAAAAAATTGAATTCACGAATATATCTTTAACATTTTTTTTTTCACTTTTCTTCCTTTCTTTTTTTTTTTTCACATGGAACTGTATATTGAGAACCTTTGATCACGGTATACACGTCGCAGCTCCAGTTAATTTGTTTACTGATTCGCTGCACAACTTGTGTTGTTGACATTAAATGCAACGGTTAAATCAAAGACAATTTGGGTACTGTGGACCGAAAGTTTTGTCATTTTGATGTTAAAACACTTCACTTTATAAACCGTGTGTTCTTGATTCTGTTAATTTTACCGTTATTTTACGTACATATATGTGTGTCTCGTTTAGATTGCATCACTATTCCTTTTTTTAAAGGTACTGCATCTCTTTTCCCTCCTGTGTTTCTTCGCATTGCCAATGGTGGTGGCGGGAGAAAAATTGTGCATCGTCTACACTATGATTGGTCAGGGCAGCATCAATGGCGGCGAATTTTCCAGCGAGCAATGGTACCGAGTACACCGATATTTTGATCGAAACACTAACGCCAGCATCGCAGCTGAAGGGAGGAAATTCCTACAGTTTTTGAGAGCATGGTACGGCATCGACGTGGTCGTTGGTGATGATAGCTTGTCAGGGGTTGATCCAACCCCTGTGTCTTTCCAGACCACGTCACTAAACTTTACATTCGCAATTATGACTCTTCCACAGTCTGCTAAGTTTAAACTTTATACTGAGTCGCGAGGCAAACGAGTTCGTTTTTACGCTACCAAGATTCAGAGTATTGGATGGATGATTACAATCGACAATCACTTCACTGTGAGTGAGGGTCGAAACCAGGGAATGGAGGTGCCTGCAAGAAGTACCATTAAGTTTGAAGACGTCTATATGAGACCGGGGCCATTGGGATTCGACAGTGAAATAAAGCTACGTGCAGACGACCGTGTTCCAACTGTTCGCATTCCAATCCCATTGGGGCAATATACTAACATGACCGGGTATGACGTCACACAAGGAGAGTATGACGTCTTCAATCGCCACGTCATCAGTCTGACCAGACCCGAATTCGGTGACGGCGTAGCGCATGGGGTCCTTCCTCTGTACGTGCACGGAAACGAATATCTGAATGATGGTCGAATGGTGATCACCTTCTGCAACCGTACAGAGAATGATCTGCCATAGTTGAGCTTTTCATACATTGAACTGTTTTTCTCTTTTGGGGTAATACGACTATAATGTTTTTTGTTTGTTTGTTTGTTTGTTTGTTTGTTTGTTTGGTCTTAAGTTGTTATTTTAGTTCAATGAAATTTATTGTAAAGATCGGGTAAGGGAAGTAAAAAAGAACAAAGAGCATTTTGGCTTTTGAAATCAATGTAACTACCTTTGAAATGTTTTTTTTTATTTCTTAGAGAGAGAGAGAAAGACAGATGCGGGTTTCCTCCTGTTCATATAACGTATACCATTTACAACGTACAAGCAATGTCAAGCAGCAGTAAATGCCCGAATAAAGTGCGGATTTTTATTAAGAAACATTCTCAGTATTTGTATCCGATCAAAGAAAGACTTGCCCAATGTTATGGGTTAAAAAACGAAACTGATCCTTCTCATCTCAACCCGTATCCTTCAAATTAAAAAGTGAAGTAAAATAAAAGTGATAGTAAAATGTAGAACCACTTCCATTTTCAAAACCATCATGTTTAAATTTTATAAAAATGGGACGTTAAACAAAAAAGACAATAAAGGTAGAGTTAAACTAACAGGAAATTATATATTTTAAAGCAGAATTAAAATCTAATTGAATCGCTTGTTACGTCTTAAATCCCATGTGTTAGTTTACTGGCGTTAAAACATATTTTTGTCATATGGAATTGCTGTTTTTCACGTTTATATTGAATTGCACATAATAGCATGTATAAATTTTAAAAAAAACTTCAAGTCTGTGAATTGGACCGTCACTCCTGAGGGTACGAGAATTAGGAGTTTGATGAAGATGTAAGGTTCGATTTCAGGTTCACAGGTCGAGAAGAAGTGAGCAACAATTGTCGTGCATTTCCAAACAGCTTTATTCCCACTGCCTAAGTCCTCCTCTCTACCCACCACCTGTTCTATTTATATCTCCCTTAATGTCTAATTTCAATATGACCTTATAATAAATCTTTCTAGTCTAGGCGCGGGCGCCGCGACATCCTAGGGGCGTGTTTTAGTATCCTCCGCACTGGCACTCTCCCATTATAGATCTGTTCTCCCTTTTCCCTCTTCAATCACCCCTCCAATCAGCATACTTGTTCTATATTGGTTTTTTCAAGATCCTATCAGATCCCATGTACTTCTTGATTGTAGGCAACGCCTAAGTGACATAAGACAGAATACACAGTAAAACATTCTAACTGGATATATGTCCGACTGTCCTTGAAATACACATTCAGTGGGGCAAAAAGATCAAAGCTTTACATACTGCACACCTCATAACTTATTTTACTTCATTAAATGTAATATCCAACGCTACATGCATTTATACCCTATTGTAGCACAAGTGTTGCAGAATATTAGTGCTGATGACAACATTTAAATTCAGTCCCAAATACAGTGTATGTGTCAATTGTTTTGAAAAAGACATTAAGCAATGCATAACAGTTTTTAACAGCAACAAAAACGGATATTAAAAATCAATAATTATTTATTTCTAATGGCGCTGGACAACAACAACAACAACAACAACAACAACAACAATAATAATAATAATAATAATAGGCACATAGGCAACAACAACAACAACAACAACAACAACAATAATAAGAAGAAGAAGAATAATAGGCACTAGTAGTAGTAGTGGTGGTGGTGATACATGTAGTAGCAGAAGTTAAAGCAGCAGCGTCAAAAGGATAACGATAAAATTACCACTTAACAGAGGGAAAGTGTGTTTAACACGTGAATAAGTAGTTTATACAACGTTTCAATCAACTATGAGCACGATGAATATACGAGGACCATGAAGGACACACCGGTCATCTGGAAGATGAATTAATGTACACAAACACGCGTTATCCTCTTCAAAAAAAGTGTATTGTTATAATTATTTCATTATTATTAACATATAAAATGTAATTTAACTGGTCACCTTGTTGTGTAACAGAATCATAACCAAATTATTATTTCAAGTTGTAAATTGCATGTATTTTATAATTTGACTGAAATTAGCCATGATCGAAGGTTTTATTTTCAAGGGGGTACATTTCTATGGGAATTGTAAGCCTATTTAAAAAAATTTTGGTTTCTTATCCAAGCAACTTTTACGTTTAATATTGGATTTTAAAAATTTTCAACAAGTGCATTTTGGTTATGAAGATACTATTGCATTTTTGTAGGGATGAAACTTTATTGGGGAGATTATTGCTTGAACAATTAGCAAGTTTGAATCATAGCTGTAAAAATCTTTGACCTCAAAAGTCTTCACTACAAACAATTACCCCATAAGAGGTATTAATATCATTTAATGCCAAAGAATTAATAAGTAACAAGTATTACATTGTATTTGATATCTTAATAACACTGGATTATCTAAATTTCCAAGGCGGAAACTTCGTTTTAATTGTCTTTTATCTATAAAGAACAGTTCATCTTTAAAATTCGTTATCTCAAGTTAGAAAATGTAGTTAGTGAAAATGGCATGACAACACTTTCAAAACCGAAAAATAGTTTTTATCGTGTTATGAATGGTTTTTCGAGGAGAATGTAGAACACGATTTAACACTAGTCATATCAGGGATAATTTGACCATAGTTCTTATAGATACTTGAATCCCCGTCACATGAGTAAACCGTTGCCAACATCCTCCTAATTCTGACGACAGCGACAGCTATAAATGTGCAGCTCTTCTGTGCATTTTGGTTTTAACTCGTAAATTTTTTGGGTGTCAACTTCCTATGATACTTTCATAAAATGGCTTGGTGGATTCGATACCTGCCTTTGCTTATTTTGTCATTAACTGTAGTAGACAGCCAGTTAGAGGTCACCATCAGAACCGGAACAATACGAGGTTTCAACAAAACAGTGAACGGGACATCTGTGAACGAATTTTTAGGTATTCCCTTTGCCAAGCCTCCAGTTGGGAACCTTAGGTTTGCAAAGCCCCAGCCTGCGAGCCGCTGGGCAGGGGTGAAGGACGCCACGGCGTATGGTCCAGCTTGCATGCAGAGACCCAACCCTTTTGGATTTCCTAATCCGAAAAACGTAGGTATACAAAGTTTACTTGCAACATTAAGTTCACATTCAAGTTTACATACAACATACGCATTTTATAGTAAGATGTATAAGACATAAAGTTATAAGCACTTTCAGAGGTTTTTTGACGTCGCAAATGATATTTGTAATGTCGACATCCAGAAACGCAAATCACTTGCCCAGGTACGAGCAGCAGAGGGTAGCAAATTTATTTAAATTATTTATTTAAAAAATTATTTAAAATAGAGAGAGGACATTGGGCAACGATTAGCACGAAGACCGTGTGTACATGTGATAACATTCAGATTGAAGAGCACGTGGTTTGTTTTTGTGAAAAAATAGCTGCAATTAGAAATGACTTTCCACAGGTAGATTTTAGAAAGCTTGCAAATGTTTTGAGAAGTAAATGTGTAAGACCTCTCAAAGTGTATAAGATTATGTAAAAGAAGCAGTGTTGAAAAACAAGGCCGATATATGATTATATTTTTTTAGTAAAATCTATATATACATTCCATTTATAATGGAAATAAACATATCATTCTTATTTATCTATGATTTCATTCATTTTACAACTGGGATAACAACTGTTCGTATGAGAAACATTGTGAACAAGGCATAGAAATAAAATCCCATTTAACCATCAGAATAGCGGCTATGGCAATCATTCTGGATTCTGTGCTTGGCAGCAGATCACGTGCACCTTTATAGAGGGCAATTCCTCCGTAATAAGATATTATTACAAACCTTTAGAAAAAACGTGAAATTAATCTGAATGTCGGAATGAATTCATTAACCATGGGAAAGCGTCGTTTACCCCAGGAAAATCCGTTAATTGACCAACACGAAACAGTTGTTATCGTTTTAAAATTATCTGAGATTAAGAATTTTAAATAAAGTCAAAGGTGTAGAAACATTCTTCCTTTCGCATTTAGTGCTCTGACAGTACCGTGATCAAGGGCTACAAAAAACATATTCACAGTATCACTCATGTTAAAATCTCACAGATTATTGGTCCAAATCTACCGACATTGGTATATAGGTTTCAGTAGGGGGCGTGTATAATGTATAATTTATTTTCCACTTCAGATATCTGAAGATTGCCTGACACTCAACGTGTTTGTTCCCGATACCCCTGGCATCAAAGCTGTAATGGTCTGGATTCATGGCGGAGGCTACTTCACTGGTGGAAGTTTTCATTATGATTTCACCGAATTCGGTAAGTCCTCTTGATGACCGTGGTTCATAAAATCTTCTCTTTGGCGGTTTTTCTGGGTCTCTAAAAGAAATCAAGACCGATGATTAATATTCATTTTGCCTAGAACCAAGATGAATCAGTAGGCCTACCGGTCCTCTCCATACATTTACATGTAGGTTTTATCAAAGTAAGCAAGTGGTGATTCAGTTCCTGAAAATCCATACACCGTATGTTCTATTATATGTTTTCTATCTGTTCATTTTGCTTTGTTTTATTACTATATATTTTCACAATTTTTTCTCTTTTGTATTTCATAAGCTGCAAGAGGTGACATCATAGTTGTATCAGTGAATTATCGCCTGGGACCATTTGGTTTCCTGAATATAGATGGCGCTAATGCACCTGGAAATCTGGGACTGTGGGATCGATTGAGGGCCTGAAGTGGGTACAAGACAACATTGGAGCCTTTGGTGGTGACCCTAAAAAGTAAGTTTATCGGAAATGTCACTTGTTTAAACTTCGTTTCCGCTTGCCTCTCCGCCTGTTAAAATATCAGTTTGAATTCTTTTCTCGGCCTTTTTGTTCCATTCGGCACTACTTCAAACCTGTTAAGGTCATATATTTTGTAGAAAATACATCTTATTTCATTGATATGTGTGTGGTATGCTATGTACTAATGCGTCCATGCAGAATTAAAAGAATATATAGCTTTACCTTACCTCAATATGAGGAAATAATGTACACCTAGCCTAGTCATTACACCCTGGTATTACATGTACAAGATAACGACCCATAGATGCAATCAGTCAAAACACTGATAACGCATCGACGAACCTGAGGGAGCCTTAATTGTACCTTCATCAAAACTTTGATTCTGTTTCCAGGGTAACTATATTCGGAGAGTCTGCCGGGGCTAGCAGTGATCCTGCAGGATCATTTGAAGGGGAGTCCGCGGATGCTGCTGGAAACTTGCTGCCATTGTGCTGGTTGAGCCACGTCACAATCGTCACATCTTGAGATACTTGCTTAACCGTTGCATTCAATTTAAGGGCGTGTTTCTTAAAATTCATCGTTCATTCTATGTGCGATCTGCTTACCACAGTTTGCAAAGTTGTCTTGTAGATAGAAAAGTGTAAATAACGTAGATAGATACACGACAAAAATTCCATATTTTTTCACCCTCAACAAAACGGAGAGGAATTGATTAAGAGCTTTCAATCATCCAACAGTCTACTGGCATCTCGTCCATCTCATTTATAGGTTCCAGAAGTAGATGATATTCAATATGTTCACGTCATTTTCTATATTCTGTCCTTGGATTGGATAGTTTCGAGTGCCTTTCGACCTGCTACTTGTATTAGTGCGCATGTAATTGTGGTTATTTACGTGAATGATTTTAAGTACAGAGAACAGTTCACTCTCCCAGTGTGATATGTATGAAGAAATTCTTGCACCAAAATGCGGGATGATTCCTTTCTTACAATGAACCGAAGAAGCAAACTGGTCGTTTTTTTTTTTTAATTAAAGGTTAACAAATGAGACGCTGCGTTCTGCTAGTCCATGATCCACACTTACCATATCGTATTAAATGACCTTAAAGAAAACTTCAGTTCCTCAGGGCCTATAACGTGCACACGGTTGTCGTTTAATTCATTTGTTCTGCGGTTGCATTAGCTACATCAGATGCGTACACTTATAAAATCGGTCCTATACCTCAGAAACTTTTCAGTGCCAAGAGAGACACGGCCAAGGACACATTTGGGGAACACGTTTGATCGCGTATGCTGGACATTCAAACTCTCTCGGAAACAATTTAGATCCAAGGGACCAAATATAAACTCCTGTGGTTTTCGAGTCAATATCAGTTGACTTTACTTTTTTAATCACGGCCCTTCCTCTGTCTGCATATTTTAAACTTTATTCAGAGTCACGCAACAACAAAGTTCGTTTTACGGCTCCAAGATTTACAGTAACGCATGGCTGATTATGACCAAGAACTTTTTGACCCAAAATGATTAAGATATGTATTTATTTCACTGTAACGTATGCATCCACGTGGGTGGATAAAATGACAATATAAATATAAGTTTAGTGAATATGCTATTAAACAACTACAATGAGTAAGACTTTTTACTTACTAAATTAGAAAAGCACTCAGAGAGCGCAGGCCCCCGCCAAGGCAGCGAAGTCTCCATCCAATGCCGTTTCACCCCTGAATTTCCGATAATTTTAATCATTGATTGATTATTGATCCGGATCACCACCAAAAACTACTCATCTGTACCTTGGCCCTCTTCTGACATTTCCTGGAAATTTCATCAAAATCGGTCCATAACTTTTTGAGTTATGTTGATGACAGACAAAAAAAAAACAAACAAACAAACAAACAGGAGTGAAAACATAACCTCCTTGGCGGAGGTAAAAAAAGAAAAATAAGATAATCATAAGATAATCATAAACAAATCTTCTAAAACACAAACCTGATTAAAGTTTCACATAAAACCTGCCCCTATACATTTATCTAACCCATTGAGATGCACTTTAAGGTTTTATTACAGAGGTTTTATGACCACAGTGCTATCTGAAATCAGAAATTAATCAGGTAATAACGGCATAACAATGCTTTTAAAAAACTCTTGAACAGGAAAAACAGTTCTTTTATCAAAGTTGAAACAATACGACGTTTTCCTGAGGACAATGCATGTTATTATTAAGGTTTTATTACAGAGGTTTTATGACTACAGTGCAATCTAAAATTAGACATTACGCCGGTAATAATGGCATAACAATGCTTTTAAAAACTCTTGTACAGATAAAAGATTATTCTATCTAAGTTGAAACAAAACAATGTTATCATGAAGACAATGCATGTTAGGATTTAGGTTTTATTACAGAGTTTTTAAGGTTTTATGACTCAAGTGCTGATATGTAGTACGTGCAATATCTATGAGAGCGAAATTTATAATGTTGCAGCTCTTCTAAATATTTTGGTCTTTACCTCTCAGATTTTTGGACAGCAACTTCGTCAGGAACGCTGATGAGATGGCTTTGTTGCTTCGATACTCGACTTTGCTCATTTTGTCAGTAACTGTAGTGGACAGCCAGATAGAGGTCAACATCACAACCGGTACAATACGAGGTTTCAACAAAACAGTGAACGGGACAACTGTGAACGAATTTTTAGGTATTCCCTTTGCCAATCCGCCAGTTGGGAGCCTTAGATTTGCAAAGCCCCAGCCTGCGAGCCGCTGGGCAGGGGTGAAGGACGCCACGGCTTATGGCCCAGCTTGCATGCAGAGACCCAACCCTTTTGGATTTCCTAATCCGAAGAAAGTAGGTTTAGTAACTTTGTATTTAATATTTTAAAATTAATGAAAAAGGAAAGTTCTTTTATGAAAATTAGCATGATCACGAAAGCAGCACAAGCAGAGAGACTTACGCTTCGCCAAAGATACAATGGAACTTATTGTAGTTGTCATTGTTGTGACAAAACGTGTTTAAAAAGCGTTGATAGCTGTTGAGGTGAATTAAATCTGTTAAAAAGCGATATCACAGTGCTTATACCCAAAAAAACTCTACTGTTACAACATAATCTCGAATTAGCAATTTCTTCATTTTTGATGGGGCAGAATTACTTTATCAGATCAAAATCTTATCAAATCACAATGTTTATTTCTGCATTACCTATAATTTATTTTTAACTTCAGATATCTGAAGATTGCCTGACACTCAACGTGTTTGTTCCTGATACCCCTGGCGTCAAAGCTGTGATGTTCTGGATTCATGGCGGAGGCTATTTCACTGGCGGAAGTTTTCATTATGATTTCACCGAATTTGGTAGGTCCTTTGGGCAGTTTTGGTAATCCAAGACGCCTATTTGTCCGTGCCTAAAATTTCATAACCTGCAAATTGTAAGACGAAGTCTTTCCACTGATTCGAGATTTTGCCCAACTTTGCAAGTTGTAAATTTGTAAATAAGTATTCATTTACTGTTTGGAATCATTGTGAGGCAATTAAGTTAATTCATTATGGTCGCCAACTGTCAAAGAAATTGCATTTTAGATTAAGTAAGCTGAAAACAATTAACTTGAAATAGATGATATTCTTCATGCTATCGTATTTCTCTAAGTTAAATGATAAGAACGAAAACGAAGAGAAAAAATGGAAAGAAAATATAAGAAAGAAAGAAAAGTGAATATCAAACATGAATTCAAATTCACGGATTCAATGTATATTTTCTATCATTTTGATAAGCTGCAAGAGGCGACATCATCGTTGTATCAGTAAATTATCGCCTGGGACCATTTGGTTTCCTGAGTATAGATGGCGCTGATGCACCTGGAAATCTGGGACTGTGGGATCAGATCGAGGGCCTGAAATGGGTACAAGCCAACATTGGAGCCTTTGGTGGTGACCCTAAAAAGTAAGTTTATTAGGAATATTTACTTTCACATTACCTACCTGCCAACCTGTCCGTCTGTTAAAATGACAAGTTCGATATTTCCCACAACTACTTTACCGTTTCAAACCCGTTTGCTAATAAACAAAATTTGATTTTTTGCTTATCCTCTCAGAGGGTGAAACAAATCTTACAGTAACGCTCTCTTCACTTTCTTTGGTTGACATTTTTTGACTAACTTTACAAAATCTGGACCCCCGGTTTGTGCCCCTTCTCATATAATGGGGTCATAAATTCTACTTGAAGCACACGCAATGACTTTTAAAATCTCTTTTTTTTTCAGCGTTACTATATTCGGAGAATCTGCCGGGGGTAGCAGTGTCTCTCAGCTTGCTCTTACCACAAAAGCTAAAGGCCTGTTTCAGCGTTTCATTCTTCAGAGTGGGTCCTCCTGGGCAGATTGGGCGTGGTCGACGGAAAAAGCTGAAACACTTTCTTTAAGAATTGGCGATATTATAGGCTGCCACGCTGGGCCAACAGAGAGGCCAAAACTCCTCGACTGTCTGCGGGAAACAACAGCTGAACGATTCCTAGACGCGAGCATCGTTGCCACCATAGGTGTCTCTGGGGCCCTTCATTATAGCGCCGAGGTCGATGGCGATATGTTCCCAGAATCCGTATCAGACATGTTTAAAAAACCCGATTCAGAAGTGATCCGGCACTTTCGTTCTCTGGACTGTTTGGCAGGTTTCAATGACGGAGATGGGGCGATATTGACCCATGACATCGATAACGGGATCACCCCTGCAGAGTTACGAGACAAGTTCATTCCTGATGTGGCAAAACAAGTCGCTCCTGGCCACGAAGCCGAGATTGAGAACGTTCTGGTGAAGGAATACTACAACAGCACAGCCAATCGGTATGACACTGCTAACTGTTACGTCGACATCATGACGGACTGGGCGTTAGCAGGACCGGTGGCAATTCTGACAACTAAACACGTATCACCAGGTGGTGGCTCTACATATATGTACTACCTCACAAAGGTACCTTCATATGGCTATGTTTTGAAATTACCTCCTTGGTTCGATCGGTCAAACCACGCAGACGACCTTTCGTACCTCCTCGGTCCAGATCACCCCACAATGTTTGATGACGGCGTCGAGTTTGATGACGGAGACAAAAGAATTTCTTACGAAATGATGAAGTATTGGGCGAACTTTGCGAAAACAGGGTGAGTATAGACCTCATTTTTCTATGACATTATGGACAAAGCCTTTGAACACTATTAGCATTAAATATATCTGTTAGTGACATATTTGTACAACCTGATAGGTATGTTTAGATATATGCAGATACAAATGTTCTAACATTAAATCATCGGAATTTACAAAGCAAAAAAAAAAAAAATTTTATAAATAAATAAAATAAACAGGTAAATTCCGTACACGTAGCCCGGAAAATGTACAGATTTCTCTACATGCAAACATCAAGATCATTTATGTGATGTTGAGAAAGTAAAAATATAGTTATTTAAACAATATTCCAGCTTACATATACGCTTCCTGCCTATTTATGTTACTAATATAGAGCAAAATTTTAATCCATTCAATATAGGAATCCCAATATACCAGACCCACCGTCCGAAAACTGGCCACAATATACATCAACCGGGAAAGAATACATCGAGTTAGGTGACGTCACCAAGTATGCTTCTGACGTCATTCCCAGTCGATGGACTCTGTGGGTGACCACCATTCCGGAGATCCAGGCCTCTCCCGTCTCTGCAGCTGGCGGCATTCATCCCACATTCTACGTCATTGTGGCGGGTATAATGCGGGCCTTTATAACACGTCCCTAAAGAAACATATAGAAAAGGTTCAGTTAACGTGCAATTCTTGGTACACTGAAATCTATTTCAGTATTCAGACAATATTCAAGAAGAGAGTGTAATTAGTGTGTTGAATAAGTAGTTTTACAATGTTACAATCAACTATGAGCACGATGAATATACGAGGGCCATGAAGGACACACAGTCATTGGAAGATAAATGTACATTAACACGCGTTACCCTCTTAAAATAAAGTGTATTATTGTTATAATTATAATTTCATTATCATTATTATTATTATACAAAAGGCGATTTTTGCCTTGTTTAACAGAATTATAATCTTATTGTTAAATTAATTGGTCAGTTCTCGGGAACAGTAACTTTAATTCGCCAACTAACTTGTTTCGCCTGGTAATTAAGATGCCAGATGCACAATGTTCTTTTTATTATTGCCAATTTGTAATTAATACATGTTTATTATTTAAAGGTTTCTTCTGGAGAAGATTTAATGTCTTCGTCGTGTTATCACGAAGCTATAATTTCACTATCTCATAATTTTGTACTAGTTTAATCATGCAATAAAATAATTGTCTTAGTGCATTATCTCATGGATAATTTTTGGAGTGTGGCGTGTTAAAATTCATCACCTTTGTAGAAAAACAAGTCATGTACTTCGTGAACGCAGATGAACTAATAGCTACGTACAACTTAAAAAGTTGATCAATTGCAGCCATTGTGTTAGTTGAGTTTTAACTCAGTTAATGCACTAGGATGCGACAATTAAAAGTCACAATTGTCGCATCCTGTTGCATTAACTGGTCCACCGATTTTAGAATCGTTGTTTGTAGTATAGAGCTAACCAGTACTGACAAAGATAGCTTGTGTAATAGGGTTACAAAATGTCAGTACAGTATTACGTAAAGCATTCCCGCCTATTTGGCAGTCACGTGAGCGGGTAGTACAAAGTTTCCGCTCAATACTATTCTTTGTAAGTCACGTGTCACGTCTTTTAGCAGTCACGTGAGCGGGTAGTATAAAATCACTGCTCAACACTATTCTTTGTCAGTGTTCGCAATTCCACGTGAGTGTGCATGTATCAGTATACAGGACTGAAGGAATAAAGAAGCTGATCCTTATGAAATAAGGTCGATTTTGTTATGTGTTACTCGGCTACACTTGAGTTCAGTGATTAGTATCGTACGTAGATAAATATAATTTAGTAATTTACTGCATTAAATGGCTTACAACTAAAAAAACTAGCATATGCATTTCATTCAAAACTTTAACTGAAGAATGAAATTACTAATGTTTAGAGATATTTCCTGTAAGAAATCATTATTTTGGGGTTTTGCCGTCCATTCTGTATTTAATAGATGATCGTCAGAAAACCACAAAAAGTACAGGAAACCCCGTCGACATGTTTCTGGTGCACAAATAATGTGATAATAGTGACTGAAGTTGGACATTTTGTAATCATCAAATGACATTACAATAATTCTGCTAATAGTTGGAGATTGCATGTATTCACATTTTATGTCATCATTTGACTGAAATTATAGCCATGATCAAAGATCTTATTTTAAGAGCAATGGGAATTGCAAGCCTATCTACAAAATTTTTGGTTTCTTATGCTAGGAACTTTTTACTTTAAATATTTGATTTTAAGATTTTCAGCAAATCCACAATGTTTATGAAAATACTGTTGCAATTCTGTAAGGATAAAACTATATTGGGGGGATTATTGCCTGAACAATTAGCATGTTTGAATTATAGCTGTGAAAATCTTTGACCTCAAAAGTCTTCACTTTAAACAATGATCCCATAAGAGGTATTAATATCATTTAATGCCAAAGAATTAATTATATATTAACAAGTATTACATTGTATTTGATATCTTAATAACACTGGATTATCTACATTACCAAGGCGGAACCTTCGTTTTAATTGTCTTTTATCTATTAAGAACAGTTCATCTCTAAAATTCATTATCTCAAGTTAGAAAATGTAGTTAGTGAAAATGGCATGACAACACTTTCAAAACCGAAAAATAGTTTTTATCGTGTTATGAATTGTTTTTGGAGGAGAATGTAGAACACGATTTAGTACTAGTCATATCGGGGATAGTTTGATCATAGTTCTTATAGATACTTGAATCCCCGTCACATGAGTAAACCGTTGCCAACATCCTTCTAATACTGACGACAGCGAAGGCTATAAATTTGCAGCTCTTCTGTGCATTTTGGTTTTAACTCGTTGATTTCTTTGGGTGTCAACTTCCGACCATACTTTCATAAAATGGCTTGGTGGATTCGATACCTTTCTTTGCTTATTTTGTCAGTCACTGTAGTAGACAGCCAGTTAGAGGTCACCTTCAGCACCGGTAGAATACGAGGTTTCAACAAAACAGTGAGCGGGATAACCGTGAACGAATTTTTGGGAATTCCCTTTGCCAAGCCTCCAGTTGGGAACCTTAGATTTGCAAAGCCCGAGCCTGCGAGCCGCTGGACAGGAGTGAAGGACGCCACAGAGTACGGTCCAGCTTGCATGCAGAGACCCAATCCATATGGATTTCCTAATCCGAAAAAAGTAGGTAGACAAAGTTTACACACTGCAGTAAAAATATTTATGGTTAATTTCCCTCAAAAGGAAAAGCGCACTTTGAGATTTTAAGTTTGAATTCAAATTAAATGTGTGAAATTTAATATTTTCGTTTTTCAGGCAGGACCATAAAGTTTTTTTGCCTTTGTATAAGGAGGTTCGTTATGTAAGAGAGGCCTATATTTGACAAAGAAAAAACTTTCCCGTTTTTTTATCGTTAAATATTTCTCTTATATTCAACGCTATAAATATAAACAATTTCAGTGCACATTGTCTCTTTATGTTGTTTTATTCTCCACCTCAAGCGCTTCTGCCTATGTTCAGGTGACGGAGATTAAAAAAAATATACCACAAAAACGCTACTGTAACGACAGAAACTCGAAGAAGCAAATTCACTACCGTGAATTTTTGATGCTACAACATTCTCAAGTAACATGGCAATGCTTTTTGCGGCATTATCTAAGCTTAAAGGGAAAAAATCCTAACCTACGGAACTGTGTGGCATCTCATAAATACATGTAGTTGCCCCACGGCTAGTGGCAGTAGGCGTAGGGTGTATGTGTTATATAACTTATTTTCCACTGCAGATATCTGAAGATTGCCTGACACTCAACGTGTTTGTTCCTGATACCCCTGGCGTCAAAGCTGTAATGTTCTGGATTCATGGCGGAGGCTACTTCACTGGCGGAAGTTTTCACTATGATTTCACTGAATTTGGTAGGTCTTTTAGGCAATCATTGTAAACCAAGATGGCTTTTTCTCTTGGTGACAATCTCTCAATTTTGTATTGATTCGGAAGAAGTGAATTTAGATTTGTTGACTCTTCGCCCCGTGGGCAACTTTAAATATCCAAGAGAAATATGAAACCTTGCATGTGAACTAACGCCCACTATCAATGTACAGTATTATTTGCTACAAAATGACTTCTTTTAGTCACACAATTAAAGGGAATGGATGGAAGAGAAAACGGGAAAGTGAATTGGGAAGAAAAAATAAGAAAGAAAGTAATTGTTCTCACAAATTATTCATGAAATCAAATTTAGATATATAATGTATAATTTCTATAATTTCATAAGCTGCAAGAGGCGACGTCATCGTTGTATCAGTAAATTATCGCCTGGGACCATTTGGTTTCCTGAGTATAGATGGCGCTAATGCACCTGGAAATCTGGGACTGTGGGATCAGATTGAGGGCCTGAAGTGGGTACAAAACAACATTGGAGCCTTTGGTGGTGACCCTAAAAAGTAAGATTATCAAGAATGTTATGCTTTCACATTGACTGCCTGCCTTCCTGTTCGTCTGTTGAAATGACTTCGCCGGCTTCAAACGCCGGTTTCAAACCCGTGTGTTAATAAATGAAATTTGATTTTCTGCTAATCCTTTTAGAGGTCAAAAATAAATAAATAACAGCGACAATAACGCTTTCTTCACTCTCTCTTGTGAATATCTTATCCATGCTTCTTTTATAATGTGATCATAAATTCTACTTGAAGCATATATTTCAACTTTTTTAATCTGAATCTTTTTATTTCAGCGTTACTATATTCGGAGAATCTGCTGGGGGTAGCAGTGCCTCCCAGCTTGCTCTTACCACAAAAGCTAACGGCCTGTTTCAGCGTTTCATTCCTCAAAGCGGCGGGCCAGGGGCATATTGGGCGTGGTCGACGGAAAAAGCTGCAACACTCTCTTTAAGGATTGGCGACATTCTAGGCTGCCACGCCGGGGAAACAGAGGTCAAAACTCCTCGACTGTCTTCGGAAAAACACAGCTGACCGATTCCTAGACGCAAGCATCGTTGCCACCATAGGTGTCTCTGGGGCCCTTCATTATAGCGCCGAGGTCGATGGCGACATGTTCCCAGAATCCGTATCAGACATGTTTAAAAACCCTGATTCAGAAGTGATGCGACACTTTCGTTCTCTGGACTGTTTGGGGGGTTTCACTGACGGAGACGGGGCGATATTGACCCATGATATTGATATCGGGATCACCCCTGCAGAGTTACGAGACAAGTTCATCCCTGATGTGGCCAAGCAAGTCGCGCCTGGCCACGAAACCGAGATTGCGAACGTTCTGGTGAAGGAATACTACAACAGCACAGCCAATCGGTATGACACTGCTAACCGCTATGTTGACATCGTGACAGACTGGGCGTTAGCAGGACCGGTGGCAATTCTGACAGATAAACACGTATCACCTGGTGGTGGCTCTACATATCTGTACTACCTCACAAAAGTACCTTCATATGGCTATGTTTTGAAAACCCCTCCTTGGTTTGATCGGTCAAACCACGCAGACGACCTTTCGTACCTCCTTGGTCCGGATCACCCCACAATGTTTGATGACGGCGTCGAGTTTGATGACGGAGACAAGAGGATTTCTTATAAAATGATGAAGTATTGGGCAAACTTTGCTAAAACAGGGTGAGTATAGATCTGATAATTCTGTTGTCACAGTATTCTCCTAAAATATAGTTGAATTTATTTTTCCCTGACGGTAAGGAATAACATACAGCTGTGTTACCAAGAGGTGTTTGCAAAAGCCGTTATACTAGTTCGCCAATTCATATCTCGATTACTAAACAAAGAACCCGAAAACGAGATTAAGAAAGTAACATTCTCAATAACATTCAATAAACCTGGGTGGTAAAGGAAAACTGCTGGAATCTCCAGGAATTCGTTTTTCAATATACAGTTCTAACATTAACTGAATGTTGATGCCATGCACTTATACAGAATAGTTTTCATTCATTTCATAAAGGGATCCTAACAAACCAGACCCGCCGACTACAAACTGGCCACAATATACAGCAGCTGGGTAAGAATACATCGAGTTAGGTGACGTCACCAAGTCTGCTTCTGACGTCATACCCAGTCGATGGAAGCTGTGGGTGACCACCATTCCGGATATCCAGGACTCTCCTGTGCCTGCACTGGTCTCTGCAGCTGACGGCATTCGTCCCCCATTCTACGTCATTGTGGGGGGTACGATGTGGGCCTTGATGACTCGTGTCTAAACTAAAACATAGAAAAGGTGCACTTTACCTTCATCTTTCTGCTGTTGATCACACCACTGGAACCAAGATTGACTAAATTTAACACTATTTTAGTAGTTAAAGTATAGATGTTACTGAAAGGATTCTGTTCTTGACATGTCGAATGAGTTGATACATGTATGCAATTATTATCAACATCATAAATGTACAAAAGGTACAGTTAACTGTCAGTAAATTACTTTTCTTATTGCAGAACAGGTTCATAAACTAATGACTAACTATAAACATAAATTAACTACCATATTTGTACAAACTCACCATGGAAGCTTTAAAGAGAAGTTGATAATAAGGACATTTTTGCTGTAATTTTGCCTACGGAATTACTGCATTCGTCATTTTTGTGACAAATCTAATCAATATATCACCAGCATTGTAGATGTGTGGTTTAATCAGGAGATAAAACAATTGGTTCAATAAATATTTTAAAAACCAAAAATGCGTTCGTCTTGTAAGTATTATATGAAGTGAGGCTTGTTGAAATAAATATTGAAATCACTTTTGTGTGAAAGAAAGGCGTTTACTCAGTGCAGATAGATGACATTCATTAAACCAAAGGACTGCGACAATGCTGGGAACTTACTGCCATTGTGGTAGTTGAGCCTCGTCACAACCGTCACATCTTGAGATATTTGTTCAACCGTTGCATTCAACTTGACTGTTCGTTTCATGAAAATCATCGTTCATTCTATATCTCTTGTATTTAGAAAAGTGTAATTTGCGTACATGGATACAAGACAAAATTCCATAATTTTCCCCCCGAACAAAAACAGATTTCCACCCATCCCACAGTCTACTGGCATCTCGCCCATCTCATTTATGGGTTCCAGAAGTAGATGGTATTCAATATATTTTATATTCTGTTCTTGGAGCTACTTCGGCTACTTGTATTGTTGCACAAGTAATAATAGTTGTTTACGTGAATGATTTTAAGGAACGATAGCTGTCCACACTGCCTGTATGATATGTCCAAAGTCTGTCAAAGTTCTCGCACCAAAATGCAGGATGATTTCTTTTTTACAACAAGATGAAGCAGCAAACTGATCGTTTTCTTTAATTAAAGGTTAACAAATGAGACGTAGCGTTCTGCTAGTCCATAGTCCACATTCACCATATCGTATTAAATGACCTTAAAGAAAAGTTCAGCTCCTCGAGGCCTATAACGTACACACGTTTGTCGTCTGCCACTGCATTAAGATGGAGTCCCGAGCACCGCGTCTGTCTCTGTTTGTACTTCTGGTCAACGCTGTGGCCATAGTGGACGCTCAAACAACTGTCACCATTAACACAGGTACAATTCAGGGATTCTCAAGTACAGTGGACGGGATAAGAGTGAATACGTTTTTGGGAATTCCTTTTGCCAAGCCACCGGTCGGTGACCTCAGATTCGCCAAGCCCCAGCCTCCTGCGAGTTGGACGGGGGTTAAACAGACCTTTAAATATGGACCGTCTTGCATGCAAAGACCCAACGAATTCGGCTTTCCCAATGCAACTGAGGTATTTAAAAATCTATCATATCAACTGGAAATATGTTTAATATTAATTCTTAGCACCTTTAACTCATTTTTTTTTCGTTTGTTTCAGTTCAATTTTGCATCTGCTTTATGACACAATAATCATTGGAATTAATCCCATTTGTCTTTTGGCATTTATATTTCTTTTTCATATTACATTGTTTATACGACTTCAGCTTAATTTTGGCATATAATAAGCGATTGTACCATTTTTTAACTGGCACTTTCTTCAGTCTAGCTGGCATCAACTTTTCTGTATCATAAAAGAACATAAGCATGTGAGAAAAACAACATATGCGCTAAATCAACATTATCAAACCGATGAGCCTATTTCAACAAAACTCGAGTTGACTGACGAAACAAGAACATGCTACATTATATCAAGGACAGAATTTATCCTTGCAGGGACGGTATTTTTGGCTCTGTTTAAACACTTCTTACTCACTGAAAATGTGTACGCGAGAGATGTACATACGAAGTACTTCTAAAAACATGAGTTTTAAATATTTATTTTAAACGGCATTTCTGAATTTTTCAGGGTAAGGCAGTGTTTTCATTGCCTTGCTTCTCAACCTCTTCCAACATTAAAATCCTCTAAACAGAAAAAATAAAACTATGATAGATGGACATTCAAAGGAGGAAAAAGATATTTATATTCCACTTAAACTCACAATATAATATTTATAATACAAATGCATGCCATGTCGAAATCTCTTTCAAGTGTCAAAAGGACATTATTTTCTTGTATTTTGAAAAAATCCTGTCCGACCGAGAGGCAAGTGTTAAAAAAAATCTGCCTAATAAAGTTTATATTTGACAACTGATAAATTACAGTAATGACGGTCACAGATTCACTGTCAGTGAAGTATGTAAATTCTGCCTCTATAACTACGTACAACATTAGACCTGCGGTGTTTGAGACTTAAAGGACAGGAGATAAAGTAAAGCAGAAAGCGGCTATAGAGTTAAATCTTAAGACATTGGCGTGACCTGCCAGTCGACCTGATTGGTTTACTTTTCTCTCTGTGTAAATATGTATATTTACAAGTGATGCTCATTCACAATGATAAAAAGTTGTCATCATTTTCAAAGCTGAAGGTGGATAAAAAAATGGGCTCCAAAGGCTAGTGGCAGTTGTCAGACCCATATATACTGTATTTTACATGACGGTTAAAATCGAAACAAGGAATATTAATTTTTATCCAGCGACTAAAATCTGATCGATTTTCAGCCAATTAACCTACCTCTAAACCGTCTAGAAATATTTATCCATCTTATCTTTTTTTTTAGTTTTGTCTTTTCATTGACAAACCAACAAAGGCAAAACATGACCTCCTAGGCGAAGGAAGTATTCCTTGAAAAATGTGATGAAACGATGAACTGGTGGTTTTCTGCTTTAAATGCGGTTCCAACATGCATTTACCCAAATGGCGCCAAACATAAATTTTCCATTGATGTGAAAAGTGAAAACATAAAACAGTTTTGTCTAATAAGTGATCTAAAACCTGCTTCAAACACTACGCCATGACAAAGCCGTATCTTTAGCTTACGCAATTAGATCCTCTTCTTTTTCTGTAATATATAGGTATATGAGGACTGCCTGACTCTGAATGTGTTTGCTCCTAATACTACCGGTGTCAAGGCCGTCATGGTGTTCATCCACGGGGGAGGATATTATTTTGGAGGCACCTTTCACTATGATTATACTGAATTTGGTGAGTCATAATGATAAGGGACATAGCGATTAATTTATGTATAGATATATATGAATAACCCAGTATATATAAGATTCGATTTTCTTAAGATAGTTGAGACTTTGAGACCTTATTTAACTAAGTTTTATTAAAGTAAGCAAATGGTGATTCAGTTCTTGAAATTCATACTTTTTATGTTTTATAATTTTTGTATTTTTTCACTTTGCTTTCTTTTATAACTATATCATAATTTTCTCTATTCTATTCCATAAGCTGCTAGAGGCAACATCATCGTTGTAACAGTAAATTATCGCCTGGGACCATTTGGTTTCCTGAGTATAGATGGCGATAATGCACCTGGAAATCTGGGACTGTGGGATCAGATTGAGGGACTAAAATGGGTGCAAGCCAACATAAGAATCTTTAATGGCGACTCTCAACGGTGAGAACTTCTTATAGCAATAGCTGCACATCCCAACATTATTTTAATAGTAAGTTAAAACTTATTTGTAGTTTCTGATTCCTTTTATGTGCCTGAAGTACCACATTACTATAAACTTGGGTTTAAATAATCACAGTCACCAAGACTGCCCTTTGGTTCAATAAACGTTCTAAAAATGCTGATAATAAGAAAACAGTGTCCTCAAAGTGAGTAGCGCGACAGAGTTTGGAACCAATTGCAACTGTCACCGACGGTGCTTTAAATCGCCAAACGCAATGTCTAAAGCTAGTGCCAAATGGTCGAAGTGTGACACGTACTGTAGTCAAACCATCCCATTTGCTCTGAGATCCAGCTATGGGCCCTACTTTTCGGCTTGGGGTCCGTATGGTCACGGTAAACGGCGTTGTGCTCATATGGGACGCTGCGGGCCAGCTTGAAGCACCCATGCATGGTGTCAAGGTGCAGCTTAATTGTCACTGACAACAGATATGTTTAATGTAGTTATATCTCAAGTACAGACTGTTGAAAGATGGGTTTTTGTGCATAATAGCACAATTGGTAATTTTCTTTATTCCAGAGTTACCATATTCGGAGAGTCGGCCGGTGGAGGAAGTGTCACTCAGCTTGCCCTTACCACCGCTGCGAGGGGTCTCTTCCATCGGTTCATTCCTCACAGCGGCTCAGCCTGGGCAGACTGGGCGTGGTCGACAAGATCTCCAGAACTCTCCATGAAGATCGGCAAGATCGTCGGCTGCAACGTCGGACCAGCAGAGAGGACCAAACTTCTGGCTTGCCTGCGCAAAACAGACGCTGAAGCGTACCTAAACGCCAGTTTTGAAGCTACCGTAGGTGTACCAGGGTTGTTGTTTTATTGCCCTGAGGTCGATGGTGATATGTTCCCGAAGTCTCTCTCTGACATATTCAAAAATGCCGATTCAGACGTGGTCAGGCATTTCCGTTCTTTAGACTATATGGGAGGTTTCAATGACGGAGACGGGGCCATTTTAGCACTCCGCGTCGCCATGAATGGCATGAGTCCGGCAGACTTGAGGGACAAGTGGATTCCAATGAAGGCCAAAGATGTATCTCCCGCACACGAAGCCAAAATAGCAGAGGTGTTGACAGAGGAGTACTACGACAGTTCAGCCGATGCCATAACCACCGCCCGCCGCTACGCTGATATCCTCACGGATTGGTTGTTCACAGGGGCGATGGGAAGCGCTACAGCGGCGCATGCGTCACCGACTGGTGGCTCCACCTATCTTTACTACTTCACAAAGGTACCATCGTTTGGCTACGTCGTGTCTCCAATGCCCCCTTGGTTTCGGCGGTCGAACCACGCAGACGATCTTTCGTTCCTTATGGGCGCGCATCATCCCACAATGGTACCAAACGCCACTTTTACCGACGAGGAGAAAGAGTTTTCGAAGAAGATGATGACGTATTGGGCAAACTTTGCGAAAACGGGGTATGGCATTCGTTTTATTTCGGTTTAGTATAAAAATATTTTAAATTCTGGGGATTCGATAAAGAGTGTGATAAAATCCCACCGGGCACTGTTTATATTGGTTGTTATCAACGTAGTAACTTAATTTATTTCAAAATTATTCTTAAACATTTGCTTGCGAAAAACATCACAGTCTATAACCCATTTCCATAGATTAGATCGACCTACTTTAGATCGACCTAACTCCCTGGGGGTTCACGCTAAATAGCTGTCAGCCGGGCGGACACGAAAGTTAATTACCCCCTTACTGCTTGTAATAGGCGGGACGGACATTTAAGTCGGATTATCTGAAAGTAATCTAGTGAGACTCCCCGCGGGGATAGATCGATCTAAAATCTATGGGAATAGAGCCTATGCATAGAGAGGGTGAAGGTCTAACGACAAACCATAAATTTCACGCTCTTTTCAATTTATTGTTTTATAGGAACCCCAATCAACCAGTTTCTCCTTCCACAACTTGGCCAGAATACACAGCCTCTGGAAAGGAGTACATTGAGTTGGGTGACGTCATCAGTGCCAAGTCTGACGTCATTCCAAAGAGAATGGACCTGTGGACGAACACCATCCCCAAAATACGGGCTTCTGCCTTTTCTACTGCAGCTAGCGGAAATTTTCCACACGTCTTTGGCATTGCTTTTGCTGTTTTGGGTGCTCTTATAAAATATTTGGCCTACATGTAATTAAAACATATGCAGTCTGGATTTAAAGATTATGTCCAGTGTCTGCTCAGCAGATATGTAAACGGGAACATTTGTATGCTTATTTGGAACTGACATGGGGGTTTTGATGTCTTTAAAATCTTTACCAAAATGTGAGATTGTTAGATATTTAAAAATGCTACGATTGGAACTAAAATTTTCATTGCAAAATATTCTATTTCGTATAATACTATTAGATTTACAGTGTAGATTAAAATTCATTTGGAAGAAAATAAAATGGGGGACTAGGGAGAAAAGCTTGCCCATAGGGAGACAAGGATATGTTGAGGTTCAAAGAACATGCTTTATGTCCCCAGTAGTACAAGGCGAGGGGCCAAAATGGCGCCATCAGTTATATCCGCATTGCGTAATATCCAGTTTGCCAAACGGAATGGTACCTGTATGTCGACTCGATATTTTCCAAAGGCAATTGAGATCTTACTATGGCGCGGGTGTCCGTTTCCGTTGACATATCTCTTTTAATGCATTTACTGTCTGTGTATTTTTTGTTGCCTTGGCTGCCTAGTTTTATAAGATGAGGTCATATGTTGTTGCATTCCAACCCTGACAGATGCGCGAGATTTTTAAACAAAGTAAGGTCAGAAGTAACAACAGACATGGGTGTTTGTTTAAAGCAGCAGTGATGGTATCGGCAAAGGGGGGATGTAGCCAAATTAAGAAAAATGATTCACCCAGTTTTAAAAACAAGTACGCTCGTTTTTTTTTTTTTTTTTTTTTTTTTTTTTTTTTTTTCGCTTTGGATATGGCGAACTGAAAACGCATGTAACTTTTGGACTTTTTGCCGATAAAAGGAAATAAGTGTTCTTGGAAAATAATGATGACGTTGATAGTTTCTTGATTTCACTGCGAGAAAATGATACTTCTAATGCAGTGGGAATAATTGGAGAACAAGAACACATACATAATTTGCTCAATTAAAAAGAGATTCATGCCCCAAAACAAGGGCAATGTATCTGGCTATGGAGGGAGGGGGGGGGGGGGGAGCGAGGGTACAGACTGAAATGTTCTATAGGGTAAATAATAATAACACGTGTGCCTGCTCGCATCTTGGAGACCTTGACTTTTTCTGCTCTGCTATGTAGGCTACTGGATCGAGGAGAATTTCTTCAGAATTAAAACCCAAAGTCCATGACATTCTGCATTGGTATCAAACGAACAGGACGACATGACGGTCAAAACGTAACAAGAAGCTGATAGGGCTAAATCATCTAATTAAAAATGGTATGAATGTCGAATCCAAGTGCAGGGACGGGTCGGACAATGATTTTTAGTAGGAGAATTTGGGGGTTTCTTTGTTTCTTTCAATCTTTTTCAAGGAAAATTTGATTTTGTGGGGGGAAAAGCAGAATAAGATGTAAGTCCGCCGATAGGTTTAACTTTGAGTCATAAATATCAACATCGAAGGCATTTGACCCTCATCTATCAATGTTGCGAAGAATATGCTTCAGGAAAATTACAAACATTTAAGATATTGTGTCTGTGTGTGTGGGGGGGGGGGGGCGATCAAATCTCCTGAGGACATATCTGGCAGGACGGGTATTTGTCGTTGAGGATTTAGTCAGAATTCAATAACTTAACGAATACATATAAACGGATCTTATCATGTAACATGTTGAGAGTTTAAAAAGACAATCGTCTCATGTTTAGTATAATAATAAAAAGTCTTCGTATAGCAAATATTTATTTAATGAGTTAAAATTAATTTGAAATATGGCCGATTCGACCGAAGTCCCAAATTTTGAAAACCAATTACACAGAAGGTGAAAGGTTGAGATACGGTACATTAATAAAGATCCTTGTACCCTTCATCAATAAGAGATCCAATATAAACTTAACCACTGTTTAAAAATCTCTGCGTTTTCCATATAAAATTGCCCCAGGTCCGTCAATTGTTTGTTAATAATTTTTACACGCACCTGGAGCTAACGGGAAGATTTTATCCTCTTGTTATTCCATTACATGTCGATCTCTATATCAAACCCCTCCCATTCCTTCGCCTGGGTTTTGTGTCACGTTTTCGAAAAAGTAAAATGCTTTGGGTGCGAGTTTTTACGATTTTGTAATATTTCTTCCAACTTCTCACAAGCAAATCAGTTGGCATTACTGCCCCCACCTCCCTCGATCATTCTAGATTCTTAAAATTCAAAGTGCACGTTACAATTCTAATTTTTTTGTGGCATTTTTTTTTCAGGAAAGCAAACAATGCAAACTAATCAAAACAACTGTTTTTTTTTTCAGAACACAACACAGACAAGTTAATTAAATTGTAACACCGATATTATTGACTGGTATTGTTCAAAAAGAACACAAACACGCCCTCCACAAATTTCTTTGTTAAAACCACACCTACTATTCAATCTAGTATCACATACCAAGTGTTGCAGTTCAATATCTTTGTCTAAAAAGACAAAGACATGGAATGGAAGGGGTCACCACTGTAAACAAAATGGAATTTTCACAAACAAAACACACAGAATAGCTACTTCTCTATCTAATCGTATAAAAAGAAAATAAACCTTTCTAAAATCTCCCATTGAAATACCTCAAAAGATACCCCCCTCTTTTCTTTAAAAATGTATCTAATATTTATTTTACAAAAGAAGAAATAAGAATTCATACAATTCGGGATTGTTGTCATCTATCCGGTCCTCAATACTGTAGATCCTACCTGACCCCATTTAAAAAAAGGGAAAAAAGAGGTTTGGTGTTTTTGCAGTTCTCTCCATTCTGCACGCAAAATATCCACACTCTATATATATTACCACCAGGCCCCAGGTTCTTAGTTGACTAGGATTTCCATGAGAGTGCTGTTACACTGCCCCTGATAGGGTAAGATGTACCCATGTGACCATGTAACCTTGGTAATTGAGTTCTTAGCCAGGGAATTGATTTAAGTTTTTGGTGAAACTGGGGCCTGGCCAAGAAAAGATCACAGTCCAGAACTAAAGCTTTACAATTGTGAGCATCAGAGTATGTAATGAGTAACAGAGACAGGGCTGCAGGCTGCAGAGAAAGAAAACTTTGAAAATAAAAAGATTTTTGAAAAGAATCATTCCCCCTGTAAAAAGTGTTAGCCTTTTCTTTCTACAAGTCCATCAGATGTACATGCAGGACCGTAGCCTGAGCAAAATGCCAGGGGGGGGGCAGTAAGCGGACACGAGGGGGCGAAGCCCCTGAGGGGGGAGGGTGTGGGAGGGGGTTTCCACGGTGTGGAAAATTTTTAAAAACTGTATGTATAATACTGCATTCTGGTGCATTTTAACTGTTATTTATTGCTCAATCAGAAGTCAGAAATTGTGGGTTCATTTTGCCATAAGTACAGTCATTTTTTCAACGCAACACGCCATATTGGACTTTTTGGCATGAACTGAGTTGGCTAAAAACAGTACACCTTTGTAAACAGATTGTTGAATGATTGTCTAGTGGCCATGAGTGCATTTTCTCACAGAATTGAAACCAACTTTGCAATAATTCTTTTTAATCTTTGCAATTATTTTTTTGCACCTCAAATCCCAGGGGGGGGGGGCAGCTGCCCCCCCTGCCCCCCCGGAGGCTACGGCCCTGACATGTATGACTGCATGAGTTGTAGGCCTTCAGCAGTTGCCTCCCCC